CATTGATTTATTCTTTGACAACTTCATAATATATACAATGTAGCTTGATCCTAAGTACTCTCCTCTCTTCTTCCATGAATCCAACAGATCCCTCTCACACCTGTGTGTTCTTTCCTAAGAAATATTTTTATAAGCTCCTGAGTCCAGTTAGTGCTGCTTGCTGGAATATTGACGGGTCTTGTTGGCTTGCTCTTGTACAAGCAACCATCACTACAGTGAGCTCATGAGAGCAAAGGCCATGTCATATCCAGGACACAGCACTCCACAGTACTCCTCCTCGTCTTCCAGCTCTTACATTCTTCCTCCCTGTCTTCTAGGATACTCCCTTAGTCTTGTGAGGGTTACTCCAATTTAGGGCTGAGCACTGGCTAGCCTGGCACTCACTGTGTAGACCAGGCTGGCTTCGAACTCACAGAGATCTGCTTGCCTCTGCCTCCCAAGTATTGTGACCAAAGGTGTTCATTATCATGCTTTTCTAAATTTTAACTTTTATTGAGCATGGTGTTCCATTTTTAATGGGAAAAATGTAATTTTCAGTTGTTTTAAAAACATAAAATTTGTGTTCTGATAATGCCATGAGCCTTTGAGGATGAGGTATGGAATGTTATGATTTAGGGATGTTTGTGTCAAGTTGAGCAAGGGTTAACTTGTGATTGGTTCTCATTGTTAGTGTGACTACACATGGAATCATCTGGATGACACACCCCTGGGCAAACCTAAGAGGGTGTTTCAGAAGGGTTTAGTTGAGGAAGGAAGACCCATCCTGAATGTAGCCAGCAACATCCTATGGGCTTGGGTCCTGGACTGAACAGAAAGGGAAGAAAACAGAAAGAAAACTAAGTACCATTGTTCATTTGTGCTTCTTGACTGCCATGTGCTGTGACCAGCCACTTCATACCCTGCCGTAATGGACTACACCTCAGACTGTGAGGGTCAAGTAGCATTTCCTTTCTTATATTGTTTTTGGTCAGTTGTAATAAATACACCCACTTAATGGAATGCTACACATTGAGAATAAATAATTCAGAACTATTTGCAAAGATGTGGGTCACACACACACACACACACACACACACACACACACACACACACTAACCACACCTTGCTGACAAGGCAGGAATTAACCTTCCCAAGGAAAAATAATTCTCCAAAATTTAAATGACCATAGCATACCTTTCATAAGCAAGCCAAAACATCCTTTGTTGGGCTTTCAAGTTCTGGCTGTTACATGCCAGTTTTAATTAGTCCAGGGCCAGGAGACAGCCAGCCAGGATCAGCCTCTGTACCCCTGATCTACTGGACATAATAGTCTTTCTTTATTCTGCCTCATCTGTCTAGTATTGATGCTTCCTAATGGGCCCTGCTGTTTCTCGGGGAGTCTTGTGTGGCATGCTATGTCTCTTGTTTCTAAGGACCTAAGAATGTCAACTTTTCCCCTCATGACCATCATTGCCGTGTCTCTGTGTCTGACAATCACTGAGTAAAATAAATTCCAAGTGCCATTAAAACACACACGAAAGCAAATACTATCTGATCCCGTTTAAATGAAGTTCAGAAGCAAAAAAAAGCTAATTTGTGGTGTTTGAAGTGAATAGGTTAATGGCTTATTCTGTGAGAGGGTGTAAGGAGGCAGGAGGGGAGCCCCTGGAATGAGGATTTGTCTCTTGACCTAGGTATAGTTTCTGAGAACATATTCCCTTTATGAGAATCAATCAAACTTGACATTTGCAATTGGATCCCCTCTTTTGTGTGTCTAATGCACACAGTCACCTTTTTTGGATTCAATTCTCTTCTTGAATCTCTTTGCCCTTTGCTGGGTAACTTTGCAATAAGTCTTCTGCTCCTGCAATGGGAATTAATCAGCCATGTGATTTGATTTGGCCAATAGAATGACTAGGAAGCAAGAGTGTGCTAGGTCTTCTTGGCCCGTGCCTCAACAGGTCTGAGGTGTTCTTTTTTTTTTTTTTAAAAAAAAACTGCAATCTAGTTTATTTCTATCTATTACAAATGTATAAAAGATCCTCCATCAACGCTGCTGATAGCAGCAGAACCTTGAGAAATATACCTTTGGTTTGCCTCAGAAAAGGAACACATATTGCACTGTAAAGTTTATAAAATTGCTGAGGTGTTTCTTGTGTGTGTGTTTTTAAGTTATTATAATTTAGTGACATCATATATATAGAATGGTGGGTCTAATGTACTCATCCCAGGATGAGAGCCTGGACTAAGGCTCTTTCCTGATTAAGGTCCTGCCTAAAGCTATGCTCTGAGGTGTTCCACAAAGGAATGCATCAACACAGTCAACATCAGCTAAGTTCAGCCTGGATCAACCACTCTTGACCAACCCACAGACACATAGGTTAATGGTTTTGTTATGCAATTAATTGGCATTAAGTGTGGGTTGTTCAATGGCAAAGCATTGCTGTAGGAGTGGGAAAAAAAAAGGACAGTTAACGCTCAAATTTGGAAAAGCTGCACAAAGGGGGAGGATGAAACTGAGGTGGAGACATTTCATTCTTTCAAAGTTATTCTACTGAGCTGGTTTGGAATGCAGCAGCAATGTTCTGATTATGATGCCATGACATCCATAGCTCCCCAGCTCAATAAGCCAACCTCCCAAGGAGGCTATGACTGCTGAAGGCAGAGAAGAGGTAATAGCCAAAACCCAGAGGGAAATTTTGGGTAGAATGGAGGGGAGAAGATAAATGGGTTGAATTTGAAGTCTTTGAAAGGCATCTACGTGGAGTTTTCTAGCATGGAGAAAGTGCAGTTTTGACGGTTGGGTTTTCTGCTGGCAATCTAGAGTTGAGCATCTTTAAGGGGCAGGTAGGAACTGAGAAGTTAGTACTGAACGTACAGAAAGCCAGTGTTCAAATTGAAGGAAGCTGCTGAGATATGGACACCTGTTTATTCCATGGAAAGTGCTTATCTTAGTTAGGGTTCTATTACTGTGAAGAGACACCATGATCACGGCAACTCTTTTAAAGGAAAACATTTAGTTGGGATTGGCTTACAGTTCAGAGGTTTAGTCTCTTGTCGTCATGGTGGCTTGGAGGCAGATATGGTGCTGGAGAGATAGCTGGGAGTTCTCTATCTAGATCCACAGGCAGCAGGAAGAGAGAGTGAGCCATGGAGCCTGGCTTGAGAGCATCTGAGACCTCAAAGCCAGTCCCCAGTGACACACTTCCTCCAGTAAGGCCACACCTCCTAATAGTGCCACTCCCTTTGGGCCTGTGGGGACCATTTCTATTCAAACTACCATAGTACTCCGGTCAGTCTGAGCATTTTCTGTGTGCTGATCATTTTCAAACAAACATGGTTACTATTTTATTTTTAATGCAGCTGGGTGATATTACTACTTTTTGGTCAGCAAGAAGAGGATGTCCTCTATCACTAAATCATCCCCATCTGTCACATGGAACATCCCTAACCTGGAGCAGACTGGGGATGTGCATTCTTTTGGCTAGTCCCAGGACTGGCTGGGGTGGAGGGGGAAAATGAGAGTGATTCTACAGTTGGAATTAAGCTGAAATTAGGTGGAGAGGAAGGCCCAAATAAGTGAGGAGAGAAAAGGAGAAAGCCAGGTGAATGGTGCTCCAAGCAGGGACCAGAGGGGGAACAGGTGCAAAGTAATCAAAGAAGGCTGAGACCAGAAAAGGGAAGACGGAAGGATACAGCAGGTGGGAAGAGAAGGTCGGGCCAAAACAGAGGGCAGGGGAGGGGGGAGGAAGGAGGGAAGAGAGGAAGAAAAAGCAGCCAAGAAAAGCTGGGTGCAGAATCAAGGAAAAGGTAGAGAACGGAAGTGGGGCGGGATGTGTGGAGGTTGAGGGAAGGGTGAGAAAAGGAAAATGGAGTGAATGGTTAAGTTTCTCCAGTCCAGTCTGGCCCCAGGGTCCTCCTGGGGTCAGATGCCCCTACTCCCTGCTCCTTAAAGGGGTCAACGGCTGGGCGGAGCAAATACTGCTACAGGAAAACTTAAGCTGAAAAGAACCCGGTCTCGAGGGCGAAGGCTGGACAGTCCAGAGAGCATCCTTATCACCCCGTGGAGCCCAGCTCAGAACTGGGAAAGGCTGTCCCTCGAGAGAAGCCCGAAACTTTAGGCAGAGTGTGAGCCAGTTTCGGAGGAACCCGAGGGCGGGGTAGAGTGTGTGCGCATTCTCAGGACCGCGGCTGTAGGGCAAACCAGAGCATCTGAGGGACTTACTCCTCGCTAAGGCGGGCGGCCCTGAGGACCCCCCCCCCCCCGCCCCGAGGAGCTGCGAAGGGAAGCCACGGAAGAATTAGGGCGCTAACCCTCGAGGCTGGCACCTGCCTGAGGGGTGGAGAGAGGGTCGTGGTGAGGCAGAGCTAGCACTGATGCCGAGCGACAAAGGAGAGGAGGTCCCAGCACAGAGGGAATGGCAGGGGTTCGAAGCACCAGAATGCCAAGTCTGGGGTCCGAGGAAGGACCCGGGGTTGGGTAGAAACTGAGGGGAGGGAAGAAACATGGGCAACCGGAGCAGGTGGGAAGTCCTGGGCGGGAGCGATCTGTGGTGCGCACTGCCTGGCTACAGCGCTGACGGTGTACGGTGTGCGTCAGGGATGGAAAGCATCAGCGCTTTGGTCTGCGCTGTTGCTTGATCCCAGAAGTTGCAGAAGTTGATCGGTGAGGAGCAAGTCATCCTAGGGCTACCTAGGGAGGAGCGGAGCTGAAATCGATGCAGACAGACTGCATCGGGCACGGGCGGAGGAAGTCCCCCCCCCAATACTTTTTGACTCTACAAGAGCTTTGGTACCCCAGCTGCAAACCAAAGAGCCAGCCGGGCGAAATAGGCATTGATTGCTTCTCAGCAGAGCCAGGGCGGGCTGCGCCAAGGTGGGAGGCACACCGGAGGGGGGTAGAGCGGGGAGGGAACCCAGGTCCGAAGGGTGGACGCGGGGTGGCGTCTGATGCTCCCTCCATAAAGGGGCCGCGCTCTCCGCCACGCGGGCAGCAGCCACCAGCTGTGAACACCGGCGAGATGACGGTCGTGTGCCACCAGGGCCTGGTGCTAGCAGGTAGCGCCGCTTTGGCTACCATGGGGACCCTGATCCTGTACACAGGGACACCCAGCAGGTACGGGAAACACAGCCAGAACCTGTCGTCGAGAGTTCCCCTCCTGCCAGCACGCGTCGCCTGGTTCCTGCAGGAACTTCCCTCCTTCGTCGTGTCAGTAGGGATGCTCGCTTGGCAGCCCCGCTCCCTCTTCGGACAGCCCGGGAACCTGCTGCTGGGTCTCTTCTCCTTACATTACTTCCACAGGTTAGCGTTTTCTCTGCAGAGCGCACTGCCCTGCTGGGCTCCAGCGCAGGAACGAACGAACGTCGACGGGCAGCGTGCTCAGTGGGGAGGAGCTCGGAGTGAGGCGGGTTTGGAGTGCTGGGCGAGCCCCGGCTTCAGGCTGGACTCCCCAGAGTTGGGGCGCACCTCGGCTGCTCCAAACCTTCCCGCGGCAGCAGCGCTGGAGAGGAGGTGGCAGAGGCGAGAGTGGGTTGGGGAAGCTGGGGAACTCAGGTTGGGCAGGAGTTAGTGGCCAGGGCGCTTCCCTCTCCACCCTTGCCAAATGCCTGCTCAGTCTCTAGACTTCATCTTTTTGTTATAGGGCCAGGTTAGATTGGTTCAGGGATTTTGGGAGGCGATATTTCTGGAACTCTCCGAAGTTCTTCTATCAGTTTAGTCTTTGAGTGATTGAAGAGGAAGGCAGAGTCCAACCTGGACTTCATCGATGACAACAGGATACCATGGGGTTTCTGCTTAGACCTCACCCCAGAGAAACTGCGCTCACTGCCTTCCCAGGTCCTCCAGGACTTAAAAGGTGAGCGAGTCAAATTTGGCTGATGGAGAGCGCAAATGTTCTAAATGAAAAATTCGGAGTTCAGAATTTTGCCTTTCTTGTGAGAGACAAGAGAATTTTGCTTCTCTTGGGAGAGAGACAGGAAGGCGATCAAGAGCGACTGGGAGTCCGGGGACTGTGTGGCCTCCAACAGAGACTACCAGGGGAAGGGGGCGGGCTGCTGAAGCGCCTGCTGTGCCCATTTACATCTGCTGTCTTGTTGGGCTTCACTGTAAACTTGTGAGACGTCCTTGATATACCCACTGTACAGTCCAAGAAACCGAGGCTGAGAAAGGTTATGTAACAGAAGGAGGGCGACACAGCAGGTGGCTGGCAGAGTCCCCATGAATACCTCAGTTCAAGCCTCCCCGCCCCCTACTTCCACCCCCCCCTCCTTTCCTTCGCCCCGCCCCCGCCCCCGCCCCCACCTTTAAAAACCGGTAGATACTCCGGTTTTTTTTTTTTTTTAAAACGCTGGTAAATAGCAGGGACCATGGGAAGGGAAAGGCTGCCAAAGGCTGCCTGTACGGCTCCGAGCCGAGAATTCTTCAGGTCAGGAGATCAAATCAATTTAGATAAGAAGTTAGATTAAAAAAAAAAAAAAAAACAAGTCTCTGGGAGCCTAAGACAGGATTTCCTCTCTAGGAACACCTCATTTCCAGGAAAGGAGGGGCCAGACATACAAATTTCAACCTATCCTTTCTTAACTCCCAGGGAGTCTTCTTTTTTTTTTTTTTTTTTTTGGTTTTTTCGAGACAGGGTTTCTCTGTGTAGCTTTGCGCCTTTCCTGGAACTCGCTTTGGAGACCAGGCTGGCCTTGAACTCACAGAGATCCGCCTGCCTCTGCCTCCCGAGTGCTGGGATTAAAGGCGTGCGCCACCACCGCCCGGCTGGGAGTCTTCTTTATTGGTCAAGATTTAGTAATCATGCAGTGTTAACGGTTAATCATTTAAATGTTAATCATTTAAAAAAGATAAGCATTGGCAAGTAGTAGTACATGAATATTTGTCCAGTAAACCAAGAGCCCGTTGTGGACAAGATCCCAGGGTAAATATCACTTAATTTTATATAGATGTACAGAAAGAAGGATGTTGGGTGCGGGAGATAAAAGACAAGCGTTTGCTTTTACTTGTTTGGGAATAGATATCTGGCAAGAAAATACAATTGTATGGACATTTATATCTTCAAGTTTACTACTGTTAACATCAATCCCCCCTCCCCACATTTTTTTTTTTTGAGTCAGAGTTTTATACGTAGCCCTAGCCCTGACTGGCCTGGAACTCACAAAGAAGATTCCCCCTGTCTCTGCCTCTCGAGTACTGAGATTAAAGGCACGTGCCACCATAGCCCGGCTATAAACAGTATTTTTACGAGGCCATTTCATATAGAAAAATGATGCATGTTTTCTGGCAATCCTATAAACATAGTTTTTAGATTTTTTTTTTAAAACCCCAAAGGCATTTTGTGCAACAAAATATGACCAGTGCCCTTTAAAACAAATGAGGAAGTAATTGCCCATAAAACAAATATGTAGGTGTTGTCTATCATCTTCAGAGAAACTTTAAATGTGTTAGTACAAAGTTTGAAGATTGAATCTGTCTGAGAGAAATGTGTCCCCCTGAAAACACAGCTCTGAGTTACTTGTCTCTAAGTCACCAGGATATATCTGTGGACCTTTCCACCCATGTTTCAGCTCTTCCTTTGAGACCCCTGGACACTTCCTGTGCTTTTGTTTGTGGGTGCTTTCTAGATGTTAGACTCTGCGCCAAACACTCCACATGATGTAGATACTAATCCTTATACCAGCTGGCTAGGCAGGGACGATGATCACCTCCATTTTGCAGATGGGCAGTTGAAATGAACAGTGGACTGTGTTCAGGTCATCTGTTCACCCCCCCCCCCCCGCCCCATTACACAGCAGTTTGACAACTCTAAGTTGATACCTGGGCAGTTTGGATTCCCATATCGGGCTCTGGCCACAGTGATTGGCTGCTCATAACTTGTTCTTGCTTTTTTAAAAGCCGTAGACTTAACATTATTATTGTTTTAGTCACACAAGATAATTCATGTTCACTAAAGCAAAAACTGGAATTTAAAAGAATAGAAATATACTTTCGATATGTATGCTATTCATGTATAAAACATGATGTCTGCCATTCTTTATAGGTGTTAACAGATTTTCACACATGCTTCTTATATCGAATATATGATTTTTTTGTTCTACCTGATTAACATTTTGAGGCTTTCAAAAATTAATGCGTGTGTGTGTGTGTGTGTGTGTGTGTGTGTTTCTTGCAATGCATACTCCAGGCTACTTGGGCCAAGAACTTGTGAGCAATTCTGTCTCTGCCTCCATCTTAAGGAAGGGGTTCTGGTTTACAGATACTACTACATTAGCCTTTTATGTGGGTTCTCAAGATCCAGACTCAGGGTGTCAGGCTTGTGGTGCAAGCATTTTTACCTACTGACCCATATTCGGGGTCTGCTAACATTTTATTAACATTATTGCACACTCTTTGAACATATCTTTTCAGTGGCTGCTTTGGATTTAACCTCATGTAAAAGCTATGGTTTACCTATCTACTCATTGATAGTTGTACAATTAATATGACTTTTTTTTTAATAGATAGGTTAGATGAAAAGGTAGTGTGCATTTTTTTGGTATCTAAATCCATTTCAGAAGCTAGCTTAGTCATGGGGCACTTGCTTAGAATTTGTGAAGTTCTGAATTCAAATCCCAGTGCTGAAAAAAGAAAAGAGAAAAAGAATAAGAATTTCAGAAGTGGTTATAACACTGTGAACACCCTTTAGGTTCCTGGTACAAGAATAATTAAGTAAGCAGCATCAGGTTGTCTTGCTATAACAGAGGATAAGATGGGGGGGGGACGACTAGTTATTAGGAAGATGAAAGGCACAGGTTTGGCTCAAATTCTTTTGCCAAGTGTCCATTGCAGACTGTTCCTTGCAGAAGCTATTCATTCTATGGGGTGGGCGTTAAAGCTCAGTCTACTTCCCTTTGCACAAGGATAACACACTAGAGAATATGTTCCATAAGGTCAAGCCATTCTTTTTTCTTGTATCATTCCTTTACACCCTGTGCTCTTGGAGCACAGTGTTAGTATACAGCTAGCACTCAACTAAAAATTTTTGACAGTAGGAATGAACTCGACCGTCAACAACAGACGGCATTGTGGGAATGCTGGCAATCCCTTAGGAATTATTATCGCTGATGTCGCATGGCCAGGTCGACTCATACCACTGTCTTTTTTTTTTTCAGAGTCTATTGTGGTGAATGTTTAGCCAGATGGAAATGACTGCTGTGTAAGCATGCTGCCTAACCCTACTACCAAGTTGATTGTGGGCAGAGTTATCTCACCTCCTGCTGACCTCCACTCCAGCCCTGGAATGGCTGTTTGCCCAAATTCTTTTTTGATATTCTCTGTCCCAAGAAAACACTTGGCCTCCTACATTGTAACCATCAGTATACTTAAGTACCTGTCATAGATGGTATATTCTTTAAGATTTGCAAGTGACCTCAGTAATAATAAAGTGACTTAAAAAAACCATCCCCCCCCTCAAAAGGTTAGAAGGAGCTGGATATGGTAGTGCATGCCTTTAAACTTAGCATTTGGGAGACAGAGGCAGGAAGATCTATGTGTGTTTGAGACCATCATGGTCTGGTCTTCATGGTGAGTTTCAGGCCAGCCAGGGCTGCAGATGCAGACTCCTGTCCCCAAAAAACAAAACAAAATAACAAAAACCAAAAAACCCAACCCAACCCAAAACGAAAACAGGTTAGAAGGTATCAGGCTGTGAGATTCACCTATTGGAGTCTTTGGAATTCTAAGAGATGCTAAACTATTTCCCAATCAGCTAAGTAAGAGGATGGCTTTAATAAACATCTTGTTATCTCCACTGACACTCCAGCAGCACAAATTCTTCTTTATCATTTGGGATTCAGGCTAGGCATCATTTCCTGCAAGAAGCCACCGTACTCAGTGACCTTATTCTGATGCCATGCCTCAGTTTCCCAAAGGCCCTTTGCACAGGGGTTAAAATTGAGCCTAAGAAGACTCTGTCCAACTTTCACAACTCCCTTCCTCTCCTTTCCAGCTTCTCCATTTTGCAGAAGCCACGCAACCAGAAGTTGAGCCGGTGAACGGCAAAATGAGGTTCTGACCTAAGTCCTGATGGCCCCTGTTGGCGGGCCAGTCGTCATTCTGGAGGTGCAGATGTCTCAGATATTCAGGAATGGGATCACTAAGGCTCACTGAGACAATTCACTGGCTGAGAATTAACCAGTGATGGTTAATGTCTACATTGGTGACAATGGGCAGATCTCTGTTCTTCCAGATTATCATGAGATAAGCAACATACTTGTGGTTATGTGTTGAGGACATTCATAATATGTAATGTTCACCTGTTAACA